ATTTGACATTAACTTCCCATCATCCACACCCATTTATGTTGATATTTGACATTAACTTCCAAACATCCACACCCATTTATGTTGATATTTGACATTAACTTCCCATCATCCACAACCATTTATGTTGATATTTGACATTAACTTCCCATCATCCACACCCATTTATGTTGATATTTGACATTAACTTCCCATCATCCACACCCATTTATGTTGATATTTGACATTAACTTCCCATCATCCACACCCATTTATGTTGATATTTGACATTAACTTCCCATCATCCACACCCATTTATGTTGATATTTGACATTAACTTCCATTAACATCATCCACACCCATTTATGTTGATATTTGACATTAACTTCCCATCATCCACACCCATTTATGACATTGATATTTGACATTAACTTCCCATCATCCACACCCATTTATGTTGATATTTGACATTAACTTCCCATCATCCACATACATTTATGTTGATATTTGACATTAACTTCCCATCATCCACACCCATTTATGTTGATATTTGACATTAACTTCCCATCATCCACACCCATTTATATTGATATCTGACATTAACTTCCCATCATCCACACCCATTTATGTTGATATTTGACATTAACTTCCCATCATCCACACCCATTTATGTTGATATTTGACATTAACTTCCCATCATCCACACCCATTTATGTTGATATTTGACATTAACTTCCCATCATCCACACCCATTTATGTTGATATTTGACATTAACTTCCCATCATCCACACCCATTTATGTTGATATTTGACATTAACTTCCCATCATCCACACCCATTTATGTTGATATTTGACATTAACTTCCCATCATCCACACCCATTTATGTTGATATTTGACATTAACTTCCCATCATCCACACCCATTTATGTTGATATTTGACATTAACTTCCCATCATCCACACCCATTTATGTTGATATTTGACATTAACTTCCCATCATCCACACCCATTTATGTTGATATTTGACATTAACTTCCCATCATCCACACCCATTTATGTTGATATTTGACATTAACTTCCCATCATCCACACCCATTTATGTTGATATTTGACATTAACTTCCCATCATCCACACCCATTTATGTTGATATTTGACATTAACTTCCCATCATCCACACCCATTTATGTTGATATTTGACATTAACTTCCCATCATCCACACCCATTTATATTAATATCTGACAGTAACTTCCCATCATCCACACCCATTTATGTTGATATTTGACATTAACTTCCCATCATCCACACCCATTTATGTTGATATTTGACATTAACTTCCCATCATCCACACCCATGTATGTTGATATTTGACATTAACTTCCCATCATCCACACCCATTTATATTGATATCTGACATTAACTTCCCATCATCCACACCCATTTATGTTGATATCTGACATTAACTTCCACACCCATTTATATTGATATCTGACATTAACTTCCAACTATCCATGTTTTTTTCATTATCATTCCATAGGTTTTGATACAAATGCAAAATTTCTTAGAAATTATAATAGAAATGCACTGGGTATCACTGACCATTGTTGATAAATCTCTAGTGATGGGATCAACGTTAAACAGATATCAAAACACAGTGATGTCTGTACCTCCTGAGGACAGATATCAAAACACAGTGATGTCTGTACCTCCTGAGGACAGATATCAAAACACAGTGATGTCTGTACCTCCTGAGGACAGATATCAAAACACAGTGATGTCTGTACCTCCTGAGGACAGATATCAAAACACAGTGATGTCTGTACCTCCTGAGGACAGATATCAAAACACAGTGATGTCTTGACAGATATCAAAACACAGTGATGTCTGTACCTCCTGAGGACAGATATCAAAACACAGTGATGTCTGCACTTCCTGAGGACAGATATCAAAACACAGTGATGTCTGTACCTCCTGAGGACAGATATCAAAACACAGTGATGTCTGTACCTCCTGAGGACAGATATCAAAATACAGTGATGTCTGCACTTCCTGGATCTGTACTGGGTTCTATTCCTATATTTATAAGGGTCTAGCATCACAGAAAATAAATATATACTATTTTGTACACAATCTAAACTAGAATTCCATTTTATCTGTGAAAGCATCTACATACTGCTATGTTTTTTTGTGCACAGTTTGAAATTTGTGAATTTTGCAATCAAGAACAAATTCCATGAAGGTTAATATTGGTGAACTCCCAAGCTAAGACAGGGACAATAAACAACAATTATAGTACTATTGTTTTGCAAAAGTTATTTTCTAAACTTGCATTTAAAAATTTACCAGTAGTAAAAACGTACTTGTTCACATTGACAACCACTTTTGGTATCTTTATAATAATGATTTTATTTATTGTTTTACGTCCTATTAACAGTAGGGTCATTTAAGGACATGCCAGGTTTAGGTGTAGGAGGAAACCTGGAGTTGCTCGAGAAAAACCACTGACCTGCAGCCAGTACTTTATAACTGCCCAACATAGACCTCAAACCCATGACCAAGAGGCTTAGAAAGAGGAGATTAAGGCAGAGAGATGCCTTCACCACTCTGCAACTACCGCCCAATATCATAAAATTCTGTATTTATAAATAGATGTTCCAGAATCCAATTAGCCATTCTAAGGTCACAGATTGTAACCATAGACATAATTTTCTCTCAAGACCAAATGCTGAGTGAAACTAAATAGAGCTATTTCATTGAAAAATTTCATGTTATTACAACGTAACATTCAAGCACCTAAATGCTTTCTTTTTCATGACACATGTAAGAGCATGCTTGTCAAAACATAAGATGACATACAACTTCAAACACAGATTTGAAGATATCACCAAGTGGCAGTGTCAGTATATGAGAGAAAGATATCTCAGTCACAGTGTTAAACACAGAAGTAAAGATATCTCAGTCACAGTGTTAACACAGATGTAAAGATATCTCAGTCACAATGTTAACAAGGATGTAAAGATATCTCAGCCACAGTGTTAACACAGATGTAAAGATACCTCAGTCACAGTGTTAACACAGATGTAAAGATATCTCAGTCACAGTGTTAACACAGATGTAAAGATATCTCAGTCACAGTTTTAACACAGATGTAAAGATATCTCAGTCACAATGTTAACAAGGATGTAAAGATATCTCAGCCACAGTGTTAACACAGATGTAAAGATATCTCAGTCACAGTGTTAAACATAGATTTAAAGATATCTCAGTCACAAGGTTAACACAGATATAAAGATATCTCAGTCATAGTTTCAAACACAGATTTAACGATATCTCAGTCACAGTGTTAACACAGATGTAAAGATATCTCAGTCACAGTGTTAACACAGATGTAAAGATACCTCAGTCACAGTGTTAACACAGATGTAAAGATATCTCAGTCACAGTGTTAACACAGAAGTAAAGATATCTCAGTCACAGCGTTAACACAGATAAAGATATCTCATTCACAGTGTTAAACACAGATGTAAAGATATCTCAGTCACAGTGTTAAACACAGATGTAAAGATACCTCAGGCACAGTGTTAACACAGATGTAAAGATATCTCAGTCACAATGTTAAACACAGAAGTAAAGATATCTTAGTCACAGTGTTAACACAGATATAAAGATATCTCAGTCACAGTGTTAACACAGAAGTAAAGATATCTCAGTCACAGTGTTAAACACAGATGTAAAGATATCTAAACACAGATGTAAAGATACCTCAGGCACAGTGTTAACACAGATGTAAAGATATCTCAGTCACAGTGTTAAACACAGAAGTAAAGATATCTTAGTCACAGTGTTAACACAGATATAAAGATATCTCAGTCACAGTGTTAACACAGAAGTAAAGATATCTCAGTCACAGCGTTAACACAGATAAAGATATCTCAGTCACAGTGTTAAACACAGATGTAAAGATATCTCAGTCACAGTGTTAAACACAGATGTAAAGATACCTCAGGCACAGTGTTAACACAGATGTAAAGATATCTCAGTCACAATGTTAAACACAGAAGTAAAGATATCTTAGTCACAGTGTTAACACAGATATAAAGATATCTCAGTCACAGTGTTAACACAGATGTAAAGATACCTCAGTCACAGTGTTAACACAGATGTAAAGATATCTCAGTCACAGTGTTAACATCTCAGTCACAGCGTTAACACAGATAAAGATATCTCAGTCACAGTGTTAAACACAGATGTAAAGATATCTCAGTCAGTGTTAAACACAGATGTAAAGATACCTCAGGCACAGTGTTAACACAGATGTAAAGATATCTCAGTCACAATGTTAAACACAGAAGTAAAGATATCTTAGTCACAGTGTTAACACAGATGTAAAGATATCTCAGATGTAAAGATATCTCAGTCACAGTGTTAAACACAGATGTAAAGATACCTCAGGCACAGTGTTAACACAGATGTAAAGATATCTCAGTCACAGTGTTAAACACAGAAGTAAAGATATCTTAGTCACAGTGTTAACACAGATATAAAGATATCTCAGTCACAGTGTTAACACAGATATAAAGATATCTCAGTCACAATGTTAACAAGGATGTAAAGATATCTCAGTCACAGTGTTAACACAGATAAAGATATCTCAGTCACAGTGTTAAACACAGATGTAAAGATATCTCAGTCACAGTGTTAAACACAGATGTAAAGATACCTCAGGCACAGTGTTAACACAGATGTAAAGATATCTTAGTCACAGTGTTAACACAGATATAAAGATATCTCAGTCACAGAGTTAAAAACAGTCAAACACATCTTTACAAGAAGCATCTAACAGAAGAGCATATATATCTGAGCTAGTAGACTCTGGAAAATTAATATTTCCCAGTATTTTTCACATTTTGGTTAGGCTTTCAAGTTTATTGTACACAGTAAATAAGGTGACTTTAGTGTATCTGTGTAATTGTCTATTTGTTTTAGGTACTAGATCTACCTTACACCTTAAATGTAATACTTACAGTTCCATAACCAGGTAGACATTGGTTTTTTCTTCAAACACTTCTAACAACTGCACAATGTTGGGGTGTTTCAATCTGGAACAACAGAAAAAACTTAATCAGCATGATCTGTGAAAATCTCATTCAACATGATGACATGTCACATGAATAGTACTTTCCAAAAATTTATCTGTGAAAATCTCAGGAAGCATAAATACTTCCATAAAAAATCAAAATTTAATTAATTAAAATTTAAATGTGGTAAAGATTGCTTAAGCTTTCCTAACTCTCTAGTTAGCCATTGTTCATCTTCAAGTAAACCTGTACAAGCTTGGGCTTAACATGTCATATATACAGGTTCAAACTTCTGGGATGGGAGAGTAGGGAGGGGAGATCATGAGCGGGAAAGAATTCTTATGAAAATTTACTTTTATATTTGACATGTTTTGCCAAATTCCTTCATTCAATAATAAAAAATGTTGAAAACCTAAGCCTAGTTCAGAAACATTCCTTAGATTTGTTTGGAAGTAAAACATTTATAATTTAATAAGGATGCTTCTGAAATAAAAAATCCTTTTTGCAATGATGCTGAACTTCTACATGTATGGTTCGAACATTTTTTGACCTTAAAAGATTTTTTTAGATGGAAAACTCAAACTGGTACTGGAAGTGTTTTTTTGTGTAAGATATGTATGAAATAAAAAGACAATCACATAAAAATATTCGGATGATACCAAACTTTTATATTTTACTATTTTTTTATTATTTATTTGCTTGACTCGTCATTCCTCTGATACAACCAACTTGTAAAGTATATCATATGATATTCCAGGAATTTCCATTCATTTTGGAACAAGTCTCAGAATTTTCATTCAATGAGACTCTGGGGTAAAATTAACAATTTTTGACAACTTTCATAAATCTGACATAAAATGGAAATGAAAGATTCTGTTTATCACACAGCATACCAGTAGATGTATTTGCAGACTTTGTGAAAATAGCTTCATATTAGACCAATACAAATTATAAAATTGTAATTATATCACTTTAAACCTTTCTAATTGATGATGTTACATGTCATGTGACACCAAGATGTTCTGACATCACAAAAGCAATTAGCCAATCACAGCTCTAAAAGGTCATATTACACATGTGTATGATAGCAGAGAATTACGTAATTGGTGTTATTACACTGATAACTATGTAGTTAGGTGATAAGTACTGAGTTTATGTTTCAGCACCAGATAGTGGATGGACACTATGATAATTACTACTAGGATACATGTATCACAGATGTAGGGACCTGGAATTGGAATAATTAACCTAAAAAAGGGATGTTTAATATAATCATGTCTGTTATACAGCTGGTAGCCATATAGGAAAACAAAACTTTCAATATGAGAGTCTATAGCATTACAAAAAAGCACAAGTAGCATTGAACCATTAATGAAATTACACAGGATTGATTATATATATCACAAACCCTGCAATATAAAAGATCCTACTTTCTTATCTCATGAATATGTATGCAATGTTTCAAAACAAGACAGTCCAATCTATGGCATCAGCTTTGTTTAGTATACATGAACAAGTGTCACAGACTCGGCGCCATCACTTTACAGAATAGCTCCTACAGAACTGTTCCAGGGCCTCGAGAGTATTGATAATCTGCATTACTGACATCCCTAGTAATCAGTGTCAGAAAAGTACTGCATGCAGAAAATTTACCACATTGATTGATAAATAATGATAACAATCCATGCAGATTTTTATCAATATTGTGTGATTATCTAGCCTTTAATGTTGCGCTGTCTCTTTACTGTACTCTCTCAAATAAATAGATTACATGTATGAATCAAAATTTCTGGTAAAATTCCATGTTCCATTGATTCACAACTAAGTTTCCCTTTCACATAAGTAACAGTTCAAATTGAAATCAATTTGATATTTACATTAATAATAGATGATGACAAAATATTTCTTTCCTTCACAAAAAAAAAAAAAAAAAAGAGAGAGAGAAAAAAATCTAGATACTAAAGAAATATTTCTTATAATCTATAGTAGAAATGTAAGTAAAAATATTGAAAATCTCCATTGTAACAGAAATATTTATAATCCTCAAAGAAATATCCCTAATCTCACTGGTGAGAAATGAACTTGTACTATCTCCATAGAAACAGATATACTTCTTATCCCATTGATATGGAAATATTTCTTGAAATTTCCAATGAAACTGCAATATTTCTGATCTAAACCATTGTGAAAAATATTTCTTTGATTAGGTAATCTCTATAGAAGAAGAAATATTTTTTCCATATATGGTGGTTGATATTTCTAAGAAAACTGGGAAACAGGCTCAGTCAGTGTTGTTGTATCCTTAGACAAGACACTACTTTTATTACTCTGGATGTTATGCAATGGGGATCCTGTACGTTGGTCAGTGAGGTAGGGATCAGCTTCTACACGGAGACCCGCCTCTACATGACCCTTACAGTTTGAGGGGTACGAATAAATCAGGTAAAACAAAGAGAGGTTTCTTATTAAGGGAATGGTGGGCTTGTTTTTATGTTTATACTGGAGATTAGATCATGAATATTGGTTTCATCTCATGTTTAAATGACAACAATCATGATAGAATCTCAAGTATATGCATAAAAACAAACATACCATCCCAATTCTAAAACAATTTGATCCTAAAAGTGATGTAATTACCACAATATCAACGAAAACTGAGAACTGCACAATTTTGTTCGAAACCGTTCCTCACATGTTCTTAGCCAATCAAAATGCACCTTTTAACCATTGATGATGTATAAGCTCCACCTACTTCCAATCAAGTTGTTGATAGATTCAGGTCAGAATGTAGGTCAAGGCATTTGAAAATGGTTAAATTGTTTGTCTGTGTCGATTATCTGTCCATAACCAAAATTCATGTCTATCTCAGTATGGTAAAGGTATTTATTCACTAAAGTATTTCAATAAAAACAACAGACATCGTGGAGATCCATCGACAAGAGTTCGTGATGACAGACTCATCCGAACTTGTCAGTGCGTTTCCTTCAAATGTAGATTAAGATATATGTATCATTCTTTATAGAATTATCTAATAAAGGTAGCAGACAATACCATAGGGTATGATTTTACTCAGTTGTGATATTAGAAATAGATAATTGGATTGTCAATATCCTCCATTGTAAAGGTTATTGTCTTTATCAACATTCTGATATTAGGCCTACCTTCAACCTCACTGGAAGCAGAGAAAATGAACTGGAATTTGTCACAAAGATTGTCATAATCATACTTTCCCTTCACATTGCGATGATACATTTTAGTATATCATCATAATAAATTTCTCCCATGCCAATGTCGATCATCTGCCTCAATAGTAAAGATGGACACCATATTTGGGCAAGCATCAGAAATCATTGTATCAGAATCACAATTAAGCTTCCTTGTTACATAACAGTTCAATAATACTGGAGAATGTAAAATCCCTTCCGTGAATATATTTGAATATATTGAATTCATTATTTGCATTTTGAAAGATTTCAAAATGGTTTTAAACTCATACCATTGATCTCTGTATAAATGAGGGATCTCTATATTGATTGATTTAACAATAAGTACAGAGTTTTTTAAAGTTACAAAGAGGCCCATAGGGTGCGTAATGATCACTGAATATGTACCAAAGTAATGGTAAAATAAACAGGTGTCCAGATTACACAGGGTTATATAAAGATGTATACAGAGGTCTGGTTTATATGGGTGTCCAGATTACACAGGGTTATATAAAGATGTATACAGTGGTCTGGTATATAGAGTGTCCAGATTACACAGGGTTATATAAAGATGTATACAGTGGCCTGATTTATATAGGTGTCCAGATTACACAGGGTTATATAAAGATGTATACAGTGGCCTGATTTATATAGGTGTCCAGATTACACAGGGTTATATAAAGATGTATACAGTGGTCTGGTTTATATAGGTGTCCAGATTACACAGGTTTATATAAAGATGTATACAGAGGTCTGGTATATAGAGTGTCCAGATTACACAGGGTTATATAAAGATGTATACAAAGGTCTGGTATATAGAGTGTCCAGATTACACAGGGTTACACAGAAATGTATAGTGGGGTCTGATTGAAGGTACAACTATATACAGGGACACATAAAATGTGTTTAATGGGACTTTATTGAAGGTTTGGTTTACATGGGACTTTATTGAAGGTTTGGTTTACAGAGAAAAAATATTTTTTTCATATTTGCTTAGAATTATTGATGACTGTGCTTAATTATTCCCATCAAGATCAGCAACAATTAGTTGGAAAATGCCATTATGTCTATATATTCTACAACAAAATGTCTTTTGTGTAAGGTATAATTTACCACGTCATGCTGGGAATTATTTTTGAAGAATGTTCGACCATTACCAACAGAATTGAAAGAGAATAATAAAGTATACCAAAAGTACAATGATAAAACACTAGAGTCGAACAACCAACTGTTATATGTGTTTTAAATCCCCATGTGGTAATACATCTTTCCTGACAGGGCCTCAAACTTACTTACAAACATTCACTGTAACATGACAGGAATAACTAAATGGTAACCAAAACCTTATCTACAATCTGTAAAACAAAAATTTGTAACATTACAAATGTTCAAGCTCTCTTTTAATGTTTGCTGTACATTGCATTAACTGGACTAGAAGTTGTAGGCTTTGTTGTGTATACTGATGTGACTGTATAGTATTTACAACAGATAGGCCCTTGCCAAGTTTTCAATAATGTGACATGCTGTGCATAGCAGGACAACTTTATTATATCATCTCCAATAATGCAAAGGCAATGGCCATCAATCACTCAAATGCAACAACATCCCGCACTGCAATTCACAAAAACATTTATTTATGTTTCCACCTAAACACTTTGGTGTACTTTGGTGCAAGAACAAAATCTTACTTTTTACACTGATAAGATTTTTCTCAGTCCTTTTTTTAATGTTTGTAAGTCAGACTGAAATATTTGCAGTTTAGTTAGAGTGTGGTAAGTGCAGTTTAGTTACAGTATGGTAGTTACAGTTTAGTTACAG